ATATATATATATTATATACATATATGATACGTACATATGTATATATAGAGAGAGAGAGAGTGTGCCGTCCATTCAATTCTGCATCAAACCATGTATCAGAGTATTCTTATATCTATCTATTCATCGGACCGTGGGGACCGTGGACAAACATGATCACCTATTTGAGCGGATGGACCCATGTCGCATTCCATCCCATCCTGTTTCACCGGGCGACTCTGGCCATTTGCAAGGATGGCCAACGTTGGAATAAGGATGGTAAACATGGCCCTCAAGGGAAGGACCACGCTTTAGTGCGGTTAAAAAGAGGGGCAAGATTCAAGCGATTCGTTCGCTTCCAGTGTTTTGAGCCACACTCAGCTGAAGATACGCATAGCAACTTGAAGGCCGGCAACGAAAATTTCAAGAAGTGTTATTTTAACGTTTCAGTCTCAACTGTTTCTCTACATAGGCTCCACAGAGCGATTTACATGGTGTGGTTCGTCTATTTGTTGGAAAGTAGAAAGTTCTTGGCCTGCTCGGGTTTCAAATCCTGCAAGATCTGCTCCCGGAACCCGACACGGCCCTACGCACCACAACAGCACCCAACCTGTTTTGCGTTGACGATTCTGGGGTAATCTGGGCCTGGTAGTGTGCACTAAGGAGCATATATATGGGAAAGAAAAAAACAAAACAATAGAAAACACAGTGTTCCTCTCCAGCTAAAGTGCCTCCGAGTAAATCAATCTAGGTAACAGCACTGGTAACAGCTTGGAAGGTGTCAAAAGGTCTTGCTGGCAAAGTGCCATCTACCTACACATCTCTTGGGCCGGCTTTGTTCCATCACCTGGAATAATGTCTCAGATGTCTCAGGCATGTTCCTTTCAGGAACAACCATGAGGTCTTCCCGTCAGCCTCACCATCTGGCATCCCTCGTCCTCTACAACGGACTTTGGACTGGCCAACCTCCTGTTGGTGGAGGCACGTTCCTCTCGCAAATAAATTTGAGCTCACTTGGATCAGCATCATCGTAGATGCTCTTGCCAGCAGAGCTCAAATACGTCCAAATCTCTTGCCGGATACCTTAGGAGCTGTGGTCCAAACAATTCTACATACAGATCAAGATGGGATTGGAATCGCTTGACACACACATCAAAACGCCAACAAACGCTGCATTTGGTATATCCCATATCCCTCTTTATGCTAAACAGTATGTGCAGTATAGATCCTTTTGTTCTTTCAATGCACTTGTTTCAAAGCATGACCGGCACAGGATGGTTTCGTCCCACACGCCAAAGGTTTTCCAGTGCCGATTTCGGTTGTGAACCAATGCAACGACACCAACCAAAGACTTCAACATGGTTTTACCATGTTTTACCAATAGACTTCCAGAGGTTCGGAGACAAGTGTCCAGTCTCTCAGTGTGTCCGAATTAGTGTTCTTCCCTGGGTCACCTCTGAGGCATGACAACAAAGGGTTATGATTCATCATATCCAATGAGTACTATCCCTTTCCAGCTTGTTCAACCTGCGCAGTGTCACCTGCCCTGCATCTTCTGTTGGTATTGGAGCTTCAAGCTTTGTGTCTTTGTACGTAAACAAGTGATGTTCTGGGGGAGCAAGCACACAGGACTCCACAGGACCTATCCTCTAAGCCAAGTGCAGCTTTAACGCTCAAAGAAGTCTGGGTGGTGTTGGACCTGCTTGAGCAATTTAAAGAAGGGGCACGAGGGCTGTATGCGCCCACTTGTGTGAATGTTTTAGTGTTTGAGCCCACATGAGCCCCTATTTTTTTTGGTATAATCCAGGTTAGCTTTCGCAGAGCTTTCGTGGAGCTTTCGCGGCCTGCATTTTGGCTTTCGCGGAAGGTGTGGTGTTATGTGGGGCTTTCGTGGCGGCTTTCGCGGCGATTCGTTTTCGATTGGGAAATGCGATTGGAAATTGGGATGCTGTATAATAAAGTGATTGATCTAAGTCTAAGTTATTATCCGATATAAGTGTCCTTAGGGTGGTCAAAACTGAGCAAATTTCTTTCCGGCAACATCCTGGCACAAGGAGTTGCAGCAGCGCCGTTCAAGTATTGCTGTCATCAGAAGAGGAAAACTTGCGGAAACTGTTTGCTGGGGCCAGATGAGGGGCTACCTTTCCCGGAGATCTTCGATTTTTGCAGTTCTCTCGCCAGGCTTTCGCGCGGCTTTCGCGGAATTCGTCTCGGTTTTTTGATTTTCCCCTGAAAAACTTGCTCTTCAGTGCTGCTGGCTGGCTGGCTGGCTGGTCTGCTGCGGCTGCCTACATAAAAATATGGTCACCCACATAAACAACACGACATGCACAAGAATTTCGACTTTCGCGAAAGCTTTCGCGACGCGATCTTCTGGGGTTCTTTCGCGGGGCTTTCGCAAACCTTTCACAACCTGCGTTTTGGCTTTCGCAAAAGAATGTGAGATTACAGTTTGCACACTTTTCATCATAGAGGTTGTTGAAGCTGCTCACATGTCGCTCACATGTCATCCATAGCTGCTTGGGCTGCGAGATCGTGCAGGTCAGCAAGGGAGGGCCATGATGGCATCCTTTCTTTCAGGTCATGGTGAGGCACCACTGCGGTGAGTGTGGAAAGGGGGAGCACATTGCGGAGGAGTGGTGTTTGGGGCTCTCAGTGGCGTGTCGTGTGGCTTCGCGGGTCCAACTTTGGGTAGGGCTGCACAGCCGGTGGCTTCTGCCAGTGAGAGCAGTCTTGTCCAATCAGCTGGCAATCCTTGTTTCATCTTGTTTCCGTGTTCGATCATACGCCATGACCTTTCATCGAACAGAAAAAAACACCAGCCTGGTGGAGAGTGGAGACCATTTCATGTGCTATCATTCACGGTGTCGTGCCTTTTGAGAGACCAAAAAACATGAGGAAGGTCATCTGGACTGCTTCATTGCACCGGATGCATCCAAAGTACATGGCCTGTAGTCGAAGCCTTGGAAGTAGCAAAGGTGTGCCTGCAAGGCTATGCGGCGCCAAACATGCCAAATGGACCAATATACTTGGCGATCAATTAGTTGAGCTCTACATCCAGTCCAGTGCAAGGCCTAAGAGCTTGCTTGACCCTACGCGACGATCATCCATAAAACCCAAACCCACTACCCACTCACCAAGTGCAGCGCTTTGACCCGTGAAAACAGTCCCACCAACGACGCTGGCGAACTTGGACATGCTTTTGGACTGGCCGGTGGTGTCCAAAGGAAAAGACATGTGCCACACAGTGTGCAAACAGCCAAGACTGAAAGAGGTATGGAAGACAAGAGTCCAGACTGAAGGACATATTCATGGCCCATGACAGGACTAGGTCTGTCACAGGCAGGACAGGGCCTCCAGATCCTTAACACCGAAGATTATATCTTTGAAGAAGCTGTGGGGACACCTTCTCAAACAAGTTGCGAAACAAGCATTATGTGGGAAGTATGCAGTCTAGAAGCCAATCCAAGCCAGAGAGAGAGAGAGACAGTGTCTCCAGCATCCCCAACAATTTTCACAAGAAGTATCCTCTTGATACCGGTGATCTTGGTGTGTGATACTTGTTGAACTTGAGCTTCCAAGCTGTGTGGCCAACAGCGATCAGAATGCTGATCCCCGGTGAAGGAAGGACACTCTTGGAATCCCAAAACAAGCGAATCAAGAATATGAATAGACCCCAACACTTGGCTCCAAAAGGTGAAAAAAAGGCTTTTTGGGGCATCGCGCAGAAAATGCCGACTGCGACAACTAAAAGGTTGCACAGTAAGGCCTCTTGTCCTCTGGAGGTGCTGAACACACCCTTTGCTCCACCATGATGCCGTAGACAACCTGAAGTCAAAAATGCTGTCAGGCTGCCTGATTCCCATCTGTCAAGAACTTGCCGGGTAAAATCGGCGCTTTGTTGGTCCCGAGGCGATGCACTGGCACTTGCGCAAGCATCATGGAGTGTAGCAACACCTGCAACTTCCCAGCATCGAAGGGGTTTAACCAAGGCACCCCCCACCCAACCATGATTTCCACTTTCCACTCCCCACACGTGACCGTTTATGCAACATGAACAAAGCACTCAAGAAGGATGTTTGGAACCCGCATCTTAGAGTTTGCAATTCTATGCTGCATGGACTGCCCAAACTATGAGAAGTCCATGACACTTGAAATGGTGCTGAAGTGCAAAGGCATCTTGAAAAACCTGTAAAGGCAATCCCGCAATTGACTCCCTCAGCTGGCCCGAACCCCATGGTCGCTCATGCGCCGAGGATCACATTCTGGATTCAACGGTGCATTTGTGCGTTGGCGTTGGACATCAACCAAGCTGTCGAAGGCGAAACGCATGAATTGCAAAGGCATTGTGAAGTATCCCAGCATGTTTCCTGCGGCCGAACCTACGCTGAATTAGCATGGCATCCCAGTTAGGATGAACTGATTTGATGGTAACGAGAAGTCCCAGCAAAATCTGATATCGATTGTTTTGACATGTTTTGACTGCCATTCGAATGATGCCGTCAGCTATGTGTGCGCACATAGGGCGGTCTCCTGTCCCCACAACGATGGCCGCCTTGTCGTTGAGGCCACTATAATCAGCGCATTTGGGCACATGCACCCCGAAGGAATCCGGCAGCTCGAAGGTTTCCAGAATGGCAGCATCGTCCCCTCAAACGGGACCGATGTAACCAGAGGCAGCAAAATGGGAGGTTTCCGGGTGTAAGTTCCAAAGATCAAAAAAGAGATAAACTCACAGGAACCCGGTAACCTTGCGAACATCATTCTGGCATTGTTCGGGTTCCACCCGCCAAAATCGAGAACTCAGTCAGAACTTCTGATGCACGACTCATTACATCAGCTGAGGACCGTCCGGTTTTCTCACTGGGTCCCAAAGTCTATGTCTTTGAACTAGCGCTTTCCCCGAAAATGAGACAACAAAAATTTGAGGACTCGTTGCTCAGGCAAGGAGCGGAGTCGGATCGCGATGTCCGGCAACATCAAATTGTTCATCAGCTCCCAACAGCGCTGCATCGCTTGCCACTGCCTGGGGCGAAGGTGACAAATGTGGACTCTGGGACTTGAGTTGAAGCATTTGATGTTTGACACCACAGGACGCTACTAGGGGCTTCTGGCCTTACTACTAGGAGCAATCGAAAAGAAGGACAAATGCTGCCTGACACGCTGACACGTGCGACGGGCGCTGACATAATGTTCCGACACTTGCTCTAGCATCAAGTGTGGAATGTGTTGCGACACATCATCTAGCATAACGACCCGACAATGTTCTATGTACCTGGATGTACCTGGCATATCTTTTGACACCCTTTCTGGCATATACCTGGCATATCTTCTGACGGAGTGTGTTCCAACGTCCTTCTTGCCATGTGTCGCGGAGTATGACATGTCATGTGCTCTGACATGTCCTCTGGTACATACTTCTGACATGTTCTCCCACTCCAAACTGGCATGTGCTCTGACACGTGTTGTGACATTTCGTCTGACTTTGGTTATGATATTGGTTCTGCCATGTGTTCTGGCATTTGTTCTGCCATGAACTCTGTCACTTTCCCCGATATCGACCATGGCATATTGCCGAACCTTGCCCAAAGCGACTCCCAGGCACCCCACACTGCTTATTCTTGGCACTCTTTCTTGATTTCACGTGCACATGAGCTCGGAAAGGAAACCATAAAAGCGTAGCGTTCAACTGAATAGAACAAGAAGCTACTAGTAACAAGTGCATCGCTACTAGTAACAAGTGCCTTACTAGTAGTAACAATGTTTGCTATTAGAAACAAGAAGCAGATGCCAAAGGGTCATCCTAAGTAGCTTCTTGTTTCTACTAGCAAACATTGCTACCTACTAGTAAGGCACTTGTTACTAGAAGCGATGCACTTGTTCCTAGTAGCTTCTTGTTACTCACATCTTTCGACACTGCTCACCTCTTCACAGCCGAAGTCACCATACCATTACTCTCCATTACACCCACCCCTCACCCGACCAAGTCATCAGCATTGACCGTTCGAATGACGTGATCAGCCATCCTAATATCAGGCAGAGATATCGACAAAATACATGTCGTTATTCCTGTTTACTGTTTATATATATATATATCAACTTAGGGCGGTTGTCCCCACACCTACAGCTGCACGTCGTGTTGATGTTGTCAAAACAGCCCGACAAGACTTCACTCGGGTCCCTTGGCGCCTCATGTGAGAGCGAGCGCGTTCCAGCGCTCCCTGCAGTGCTGCTGTCTGGTTCTGCGATGCTTCGGGTCTCTCTTGTGCCCTTAGGATGGCAAATTTGCGCTGGATGTGAAGGCTACTTGTTTAGTCGTAACGTCATGATGATGGAGCTGCCCGTCCCTCATGATAATGGTGCACACAACTCTGAAGGCTTCAGCTGAGGCACATCCCTGAGACATAGCGTGGATCGATCGAAAAGTCTTGGGCCACGAAGGGATCAAAAACTACAGACACACCAGAGGGGAAGGCATCCACAGTGTCACTCAAACTCTGGTAAGGCCCTTCCATGATGGTGAAGTTGCCAATGCGTTCCTGAGTTTGGCATTGCCTGCGTTTCTGCTTTCTGTGTCCATGAACTGATCACCTGCATGTTTTTGCTACCAAAGCACCCCTGCACGACGGTGAATGTAGGCAGTGCTGTTCCGCGGGTCAAGGACCAAGAAAACCTCGCATGCTGCAACGTCCGATGGACAATTTCAAGCTGGCAATGCTCGAAACGTGTGCATTTTCCATTGCAAAACTAATACAGCAAAAACCTGATAGGATGTCGAATTTACTACCAACTAAGTACTGTTTTTTGTGGATAATGAGTCCTTTGCCCGGTTAGTGTACATATGTATATATACAGCTGCATAGAGGGCTAAGTTCCTCTGTGTGGGGCTTAAGGGTTGCCTAGCGGTTGTCCAGGGTACAAAGTGATATATGCTTCGCAAAACCTTGAGTATCATTGGGCAGTTAAAGGGGGACCTGGTTGGTTGATTTGTTTTCATCCTTTTTGTAGGTTGTGATGGAACTCTTTGGTTGGAACAAGTTGGGTGGTGCGCCTCCACAAAACCTTTGTGAGCTTCTGGTGCCCCTTGTTGAGCTCCTGTCAAAACCCTGAGTGGTGGAGCTCTGCCTGGTGGAGTCATCTTCGTGGCAGCTCTTGGTGGGGTGCCTGCTCTTGTTGGCCCTGGTGGAACTTCATGGTAAATCTTGGTGAGCCATGGAGGCCGCTCCGCTCTGACTCGTTTATTTTCATAGTGGACTCGTGTTGGTGGCCCTTGCTTGATAATGGCGGTCAAGTTGGCTCCATGGGCCCCCAGACGGCCATACGTGGCGCATCCTGTGGAGGGTGGGGCCAATCCAATCACCAAGCTGCCTGCCTTTTAGATATTGTATATATATATATATTTCTTTTTAATACTACCTGCGAGGCCGATTGCTTTCGCCGGGGACCATATTACTTAAAAGCAATACCAAACCACTCGGTGGCACCGCTACCCCAGAACCTTGCAAGCAAAAGCCGGGGTGGAGATTGTAGGGCATGCGAAAGGCTTGGCAGGGGCTTTACATGCTTGGATTGTTGGCAACTATCGCCGCACCTCCACCCGAGCGCCACCAGCCATCAATGGAAGGATCAAGCGATTGATCTGGCGCGAAAGGATTGAGACGAAGATCGAAAGTCTACTACAACAGCTACTAGGCTCGTCTTACCCTTGCTGTGCTCGCATGTCTTGAGGGTGGTAGGATGTCTACAAACATCTGTAACTTCAAGCTGCAGCAAAACCATTGGCCTTTGTGCGGAGCTCCAACCGACGGATCTGACCCGTGATGCACAAAGAGATTTTCTTCTGCTTATCCTCAGAAAACTGCCCACCAACAGAAACAGTCGTTTTGCAGCTATGTTCCTATTTTACAAATCCCAAGCAAAAGCATGCTCTGCCTTGCCAATGCTTTGTAGTCAGACATGCTACATTGAGTGGCATGTCACGAGTATCCTAATGCTTTGTTGAAGAAAATGTCTTAGAGCTCAATTACGGATAGTCAAGGAACTGGGCATCAAAACAGAGCACGGCTATTGTTTTACCATGTTTTACCCATGTTACCGTCCATGGTTAGGCCAGGAGACGTGTGGAGCATCAGCATCTTCTGGGTTTTCACCTGAACTGTGAAACTTGGTACCAGAAACGTTTTCTCCAACACAACGAAAGAAAAGTGTCTAGAGTCTACAAAAGACTTACTATTCAGTCTTCAACTCAACCACCCCTTGTGAATTGTACGTTCTTTGCCTTAATTAGGGGGCGTTTTAAGTCTCTCTTAGCCTGTCGAAAGCTGCTCAGTCACTCGCCCACTCACTGATTCGAGGGAATGGGACGTAGTGCTCCGGCGCCGGAACGCCCAGAAACATTGCAACTGACGTGGTGTTCAACGTCTGCGGCTCAAAGACGTTGATCTCCTGACGAAATGCACAACAGAAATCAAAAATCTGGGTCGGACATATATTTACACAACCAGTGCCCCACTCTACAGGTCTCTTCTGGAGATTCTGACTTATAAAGTGACTTGATGAAGGCTGGAAGTTCCTTTTGCATACAAATCGTACACTTGTCATCATTAGTCTAGTCATTTGTCTCTTCTTGTGTTGTTTTGCTGTTCAAAAAGCACAAAGTTTGTTGAGCATGGCGTCCAACAGCTTCTCCGGGGGCACCATGCACCGCACCAGCTTTTCGTGTGCCGTGAAGAGCTTAGCTGCATCAGCAGTTGAGATGTTGTCCAAGGTG